GATCGACCAATTCTTTAGCTTTATTCCAATAAATGTATTCTTTACGTTGTTTACCCAGAACTTTTCTGAAAGGTATACTTGGCTGCATCGACACTCTACCTCCTTTAATTTTCCTTTGCTGCTGACTTCGCATTCTGTGTGGTGAACCAATTAATGGTTTGATAACTTGCGTATATTTCTTCTTTGCATTAGCGCTTGTATTCAGCCCCTCTCTGATATCATAATTCTTATATGGGGCTCTTGTGATCTCTAGTAAAGCAGCATATGCTCGTTTATCTTGAACGTCAATTGATCTCGGCACATGTTTCATAAATATCAAATTGTATAGTTCAGATGTAGCTGGATAAACCATGCTCCTCCTATTATCACGCCATAATTCGATTGTGTTTGATGGGAAACGAATTTCCATATTACCCATTTTCAATGTTTGCGTTTCAGAATCGATGTAAACGCCATATATTCTATCATAATTGGGATCGCCGGATTTCAAATTATTCAAATGTTTTTCCAATTGCCTCTCTAAACTATTGGCAGTAATAGTCCCATCAGGAGTATTTATACCGTCGGTAGATATGTGTGAAGTAGATGAAGGTGGCGTATCCATCACCGTTGTATATCCAGGTTGATATGATGATGATGATGATAATGATGGCGTTGAAAAATCATCGGGATTTGTGTGCTTCATGGGTGTTTTCATACCATCGAAATCGTTATGTGACCTTGGTGTGGAATAATGTGTGGGTTGAGAAACAGATGATGTCGAAAATTTCTTGACATTCTTCATTTTGGATGGTGAGGTGGCTGCTGCGGCGGCGGCGGCGGCGGCGGCTGTTGGAGTATGATTCCCTCTTGATGAAGTTGCAGCTGCTGAGATGATTTTCAGCGGATTTGTCAGTGGTTCATATATTTTCTCGAGCGCAATTCGATTATCCAAACGATCGGCTTTCATACTTTTGAATTTCTTTCTAACTGCATCGGTTGCTTGTACAAGTTCACGTTTGAGATGTATTTCAGAAGTCACCTCTTTTTGCTTATCGCTAGACATGCTCATTGCGGTATCTGAAGATCAAATGAATTATACAATACACAATGTCAGGGATATATAAAGCTATCGAATCCTTTTCTATAACGCCCCTCATGAATCTCACTATCTTTATCGATAACGAGAAAACCATATTTATCTGTCCAAGTCTGTGCACACATCTCTCGAAACTGTTTATATGTCACGTCTGGAGACACGTGATCGGAAAAAATGTGGTGTAGATTCATATCGTCTTGTTTGAACATGACAATGAAGTTTGAATTATCGCGGATCAGCTGTTTAGGTACTCTGGAATATGTCTGCGCCAGATAGAAGCAATCCACATTCTTATGGCGACCCATGGAAAAATATGACCTGATCACATCCTGTTTTTCACATATAACATCATCAAATATGAAAATGCTATCAGATTTCGCATCTGCAGGCTCCACTATATCCACATTATTATTGAATGTGTAAAATCCCAAATCTTTGATCGGATCCAATACCGCACGTAAGTACTCATACTTGGGTTGATATAATGATTTCGAATAGAGATAAATATTGGCGAAACGTAAGCCGTTGTCATTGGTGAGAAGTGATATCATAACATTGGTTTTTCCACAATTCGATGGACCAATTATGAGAGCGCGAATCGTATTAGGGAACAGAGGTCCATGTCGGCGGGTTGAACCAATATTGTGTCCTAACCCTACTTTCTCATCAAAGTTTTCTACATTGAATATTTCTTTCTGTTGCACTATCTTCCTTGTATGGTGGTTGAATGATATATAAGGCGGTGCGAGCATTACACAACTCATTTATATTATGAAGGTGATGCCTAACACATCGATTAGTTGTAAAAAAAATATTAATCATAAAAAAGGAAATAGGCGTGGTCGGAAACAAAATATTGGTGAAGGAGTTGTCAATACCTTGATCAATAAATTACCGTTTGAATTATACATTCCTGGTGGTTACCAATATTGCGGACCCGGAACAAAACTACAAAAAAGACTGGCTCGCGGCGATCCTGGTATAAATCAGTTGGATAAAGCTTGCAGGCAACACGACATAGCATACCTTGAATACCCGAACGATTTATCAGCGAGACATTTAGCTGACAAAAAATTAGAGGAAGCTGCCTGGGAGCGTGTTAAATCGAAGGACGCCAAATTAGGGGAGAGGACTTCATCTTGGTTGGTCACCAACATAATGAAGGGAAAGAGGCGCTTCGGTATGGGATGCGGGACGGCAAGTGGTGGGATGAAAAAAAATCGCACACCTAGGAAAAGGAAGAATCAATCGAAGAGCGGTAAAAAAAAAATTGCTTTTGGATCGGGAATAGTCCACAAAGTCCGCAACGTATTACGCGGAATTGGAAAAAAAGGGGAACTCATCACAAATTTGGCAAAGACATCCAAAATGGCAATTGGAGCTGCTCGAAAATTCGTTAAGATCGCTGGTGGAAAGAATAATATTCGCACACCTCGGATAATACCAATTCCAAAAGTTGGCGGTATTCTTCCGCTCATACCCATTTTCGCAGGCTTATCAGCATTGGGAAGTTTGGCTGCAGGTAGTGCTGGTATAGCTCGCGCCATCAATTCGGCTAAAGAGAGTAGACAACAACTCGCCGAAGCGAATCGACATAATGAAAATATGGAGGCGATCGCTCTTGGGAAGCTTGGCAAAGGAGTTTATTTGAAACCGTTCCGAAAAGGGTTGGGTATTTATCTAAAGCCGCAGAATTCAAAAAACTAGATGAGTTACCTCGAAGGGCCTTAACCGACATTGATCTATTACACTATATAGATATAATGAAAGTACCACACTTTCGAGGTATATTTATGAGAGACAATCTACCCAAACTAGGACCGCGTCGCATAGAATCAGCCATAATAAATCTCGATAGTAGCCGAGGTAGAGGTACACATTGGGTTGCATATAAGAAGAAATGGAATGGAACAGTGGATTATTATGATAGTTATGGTGATTTACCGCCACCTGAGGAGTTGGTGGAATATTTGAAAAGAGGATCTAAATCGACAGGAGCCATCAAAATTACATATAACTACGAGCGTCAACAGGATTACAACACAGTCTGGTGTGGTCACTTGTGCTTGAAATTTCTATCGTCTAACAATAACACCAGCAGCACCACCAAAAATCGTGAAAAAAATGGATAGGGAAAGTATCAAGAGGATGGGGCATGCATTATTGGCTTATTCGCGACTACGTTCTCTATTGAAAATGTCGAAAAAACAACTTGCTGACATGCCGAAAGAAGTTCTCATAGGGTGTGCCTCACATGAGATTGCTTTAGTGTGGGATAAATTGCCGGAACAATTACAAAAAGATCCAGATATATCAAAATATAGATTTTGTGAGAAACATTACACGAAACAGAAGGAGGAGGAGGATAGTGACACCAATGATGGGCCAACACCAAGAAGAATATTCTGTTGTTTCTGTCAGATGAATGATGTAAATGTAGCAACTGAAAATAAATTCGATATCAACCCTTCGACTACTGAAAACCGAAACATTCTTCATTTGTGCATGCAGCAATAAGGTTGTATGACCGACACACATTAATGAGTCGCGCTGCTTAAATTGACGTATGCTATAGTTTTCACTGTTTTTTTGTTATCTCCCCCTCCAAAAAAAAAACAAAACAACATGTCACAAACGTTCACTATATCAGGAGATAGCAATGTTTTGACTGCTGATTTCTACCCACCCATTGAACTAGATGTGAAAAAAACTTATGGTTTAGGATTACATGGATTCTACTCATACAACTCTATACTCAATATAGATGAGAAAAACAATAAAATTGGTTATTACACCTTCGAAGGAGCTGTTTCTACATCCCACATAGTTACTATACCGCCAGGTGTATACGAGATAGATGAAATTAATAGAGTCATACAAAAAACTATAGCTGACGAAACACAACAAAATGATCGTGATATCGATGAAGTTTTTTTTCTTCGCGCCAATAATAATACCCTCAAGTGTGAGATGAAGTCTATGTATAATATACTAACGGCGTGTGAAAATTCCATAGCCAGCGTGTTGGGATTCGAGCAGAAAAAAATAAGGGTATACCCACCCAATCAGTTACATATATCTACATTACCGGTGAATATTATGAAGGTGCGACTAATAAGAGTTGATTGTAATATTACCGCAGGTGCTTACACCAATGGTGCAGAGGCGCATACTCTGTATGAGTTTGATATTGATGTTGAACCTGGATATAAGCTGTCAAAGGAGCCGACAAATGTTATATATCTACCGATCAGCCCAATTGGGCGTCAGTTAATCGACAACATCACACTGAGAATTTTGGATGAAGATAATCACCCGATAGATTTTCGAGGAGAGAAAATCATAGTGAAACTGGAATTGAAACAGCTCACTTGAACATTATCGATATATATATATATATATATATAAGATAAAAAATGGGGTTTTGTTTTGGAAACCAATCAAAGCTGGTATCACTAACGAAAACAAACGCCAACTTCTATGGCATCCATAGTAATAAGAAGAGCAAAAAGCGCGGTGTTGGATTCATTCGAACAGAACCCGCTGAACTGGATAGACGTAGATTGTCTGTGAGCGACATTCAATTTTTGAAATCTATTGGTTTGGAGCCAAGAAAAAAGTTATAATCAGCAAGAAAATGGTTTCCACGACATCCACCAGCTTACAGTTGGAGGTATTCGAAGAACCAATCTTCGATCATTCGCTTGTCAGCCTACATGAGCATACGTACAAGCCATACGGTTCACCATCATTCAAAAATTCCGATGAAATACGAATTGCCGTCAATTTTCAAGATCTGATACTCGACATTTCTGAAAGCTACATTTATATTGAGGGAAAATTCAGACCACATGAAGCGGCAAAACCATGTTATCTATCTAATAATGCCCTGGCCTTTCTCTTCGACGAAATCCGATATGAAATGGGGGGTGAACAAGTATCTATGGTAAGAAAACCCGGCATAACTACCACTATGAAAACTATGATCTCATATGGTGCATCGAATGTTAAATTCCTAGAAACAGTTGGATGGGGTTTATGTGATGAAAAACAGGTTATTCTTGATCAATCGACCCATATTTTTAGCGGCAAACTACCGCTCAAATATTTAATGGGGTTTGCTGAGGATTACAATAAAGGTATTCTGAATATAAAGCAGGAATTGATACTCATCATTGCTCGCTCATTCAAAAATTCCTACATGGGCGACTGTGATGCAGATATTGAGTTAAACAAAATCGAGTGGAGAATAAGGCATGTTATGCCGTCAGATAAGCAGAAATTGAAACTATTGAACCGTTTGAATAAAAATGCGACGGCAAAAGTAAAAATTGCATACAGAATGTGGGATCTGTATGAGTTACCAACCATTCGTGAAACAGCTTCAGATATTTGGGCTGTAAAAACAACCTCGAGCCTCGAGCGTCCTCGATACGTTATAATTGGATTCCAACACACGGATCATACAGATAATGTTTCCAAGGACATCACAAAATTCATTCATGCTGGAGTCAACAATATCCGGCTATATTTGAATTCAGAAGTTTACCCATACGAGCGATGGAATTTGGATTTCGATAAAAAGTTGGACGCCATAGCTTATTATGCATACGACAATTTTCAACGGAGTTACTACGGTAAAGATATGGGTGAACCAATGATGAGTATCGAGGAATTTAGGAAAAATCCTCTCTTCATCATCGATTGCTACCATCAGCCTGATGCAATGAAAGCCTCAACCGTTGATATCAAGTTGGAGTTTGAAACTCGCAAGACAAAGTTTCCATCTAACACTAAAGTCTACGCACTGATTCTCCATGATGCATTCTTGACGTACAGCGCACTGGATGGTTCCATACAGATGGGTGCTAAATTAATGAATGAATGAATGAACACTATATTATACCGATTCGCCTTTCGATGATCGTCATAAACATATCACAATGTAATAATAATTATTATAATTGATATTATAATTGGGTATTCAGGAACTTATTGTATCGTATATGTATTTTATTCAATAAAAGGTGAAAATGAAAAGTACTACAAATGTCTTTCATTCCATTCAGATTTCCTATAGCCTGAATTCATATTTTCCATATTTGAGCTTCAGGTGGTGCAATACCATTAATCATAACCTCAGATGATATTTATTGTATGAAAAATATGAATAGGTCCTGGAAACAATAAAAAAAGGGGATACAATTTTATATTGAAATCAAGATTGAAATATAGGTACAGAGGGTGTCTCAGGTTTAACTTATCTAACTTCGATAATGAGTAATCACAAAATAAGTTGCAAATTCGTATCCCTTATGTCAGAGAACCTGAAACTACGAGATTTTATATTCATGCCGCTAAAATTTACAAAGTTATTGAGCAATTTTGACGTATAATCTTCCCCTAGAATACCCTCTATCTCCTAAACCAGCAACATTCTTTTGGAGCATATTATGCTCAATCTTGATATTTTAGTGCTTACTATCTGTAGTTCAGAGATTTCCCATTCCTAATGAATCACCATGTATATAGAGTGTTTCTTGAGTACGTGTAAGAAACTCAGGAAAATGTTGCTGACGTCAGAATAAATTTCACTCGAATATCATGATTATTTTGGGATTCATTCTCAAAAACTGAAATAAGAAGCAAACTATGACAATCTGTATCTCAGAAATGAATAACTTGCGGGCATATGTTTATACAAACGTTTCTTCTTCTTCTTATTTCGACATCAGCAACATGTCCCTGATTTTTTTTTACACGTACCTACTCAAGAAACACCCTGTACAATGAAAATTTTATTATTTCTACGGCGAATCAGAAAATGGCTGTTCAATATTTTTTTCCAACTCTTAGTTCAATAGCGTGAAATATATATTCTGAAAAAAGTATGTTTTATATTGAGAAAAATTCATATAGTCTATTGCGAGGAGGTTATGATGTGATGTGTATTTTGAATGATATATCGAGGATATCATGTGTGAGAGGTTCCTTTAGAACAAATTCAAATTATATTCTTCTCTTTTTTTTTTTGAATAACTTTCACTTTGTACTAGATATATCCCTGATATATTTTCTGATATTGAAGATTCAAAATAAATGTGCGAAAATGTTTTTTTTCGATCAGCCTGCGATTTAAGTATCTTTCATTATCACATAAATATATACACATGTTAAGAATAGAACACAAAACATTTATTTATCCAATATACCATTTCACATTCGTGTAAAGGGTAATGTGAGAAGTGAAACTTGGAGTTCCAAATTGATATTATCATTGTTTACAGCATTAATAATAATAATAATAATAATAATAATAATGATACCTAATAATAATAATAATAATGATAATAATGATAATACCTAATAATAATAATAATAATAATAATAATAATAATAATAATAATAATAATAATAATAATAATAATAATAATAATAATAATAATAATAATAATAATAATAATAATAATAATAATAATAATAATAATAATAATAATAATAATAATAATAATAATAATGATAATACCTTATAATAATAATAATAATAATAATAATAATAATAATAATGATAGTGTGGTGGTCTGCCTCGAGGTGACTTCTACCAGGACCTGCGAATGGTAAAATCATAATTAGTTTGGAAATAATTCAACATTAAATGTGCGAAATATACTTGTTCTCACAAAATTCCCCTATTGTGATGATAAGAATAATTGAAAAATATCAGAATAAAACTGTTATTAGGAAATAAGTTCAGAATTCTGCACCACCTATTATGTGTTCAATATTGAGTGATAGTGAATGAAAAGTTAAGATAGGAACATGTGAGCTGGTTTGGTCAATAATGAATAGTTTCGACACAAAAAAAACTCCTAAAATTGAATTTCAACAACTTATCTGTTATCTCTGTTATCATTAGTCCATTCTTAATGAATCACCCTGTATATATATATTCGATACTGTGATATGAATAATTGAAAATTGAAAAATATCAGAATAAAATTGTTATGAGGAAATAAGTTTAGAATTCTGCACCATTTCTGTATGTGTTCAATATTAAGTGATAGTGAATGAAAAGTTAAGATAAAAAACATGTGAGCTGGTTTGGTCAATAATGAATAGTTTAGACATAAAAAAAAATCCCTAAAATTGGATAATCACGAATTTCAACAACTTATCTGTTATCTCTGTTATCATTAGTCCATTCTTAATGAATCACCCTATATATATATATATATATATATATATATATATATATATATATATATATATATATATATATATATATATATTCGATACTGTGATAAGAATAATTGAAAATTGAAAAATATCAGAATAAAATTGTTATGAGGGAATAAGTTTAGAATTCTGCACCATTTCTGTATGTGTTCAATATTAAGTGATAGTGAATGAAAAGTTAAGATAAAAACATGTGAGCTGGTTTGGTCAATAATGAATAGTTTAGACATAAAAAAAATCCCTAAAATTGAATAATCTCGAATTTCAACAATATATATATATATATATATATATATTCTATACTATGACATGCGAAATAGTTTCCAATAAAAAAAGTAAAGAAAAAAGAACTGTGAACTTCTCATAGAATACTGAATTACTTACATATTATCGACTGTCGCCCTCGAACGCTTCCGACATCTGTTTATGCCACACCTGGTACATCTTTGTGGCCACACCTAATGCTTCTTCGGCATTCTTCAACTTTTCGCTGGCTTGTCTTCTTGTAGAACAATTCTCACTCTGTTTTATCAAATGTTGTTTTTTGTCCTCCTCCAATTTCTTTATTCGTTTTCTTATTCTCTCTTCTTCCTTCTCGATTTCCTGAAAACCTTCCTCAAGTTCGCGTTCTCTTATCGAACATTCTCCCAAAATTTTTGTTTCCTCGGAAATCTCCTTCTTCGCCCTCTTACTCATGGCAGCATATGCCTTGATTGGTGGGAACGACAAAATATTGTCGAATGCTCCACCCGACTCAACATACGCCACCATATCAAGCTTATTGTTCGATGCATCTGCTGAATTTGAAAGTTTTTGGTTTGTTACTTCCCAATTTCCACCGTTGTCCGTCGAGGGCTTCCTCTTGAGGTTAATCCGAATTGGGGTACAAGAGATGGGGACACCTCTGTCCTCGACGTTCCCGGTTGGATCACTCCCATCGCTGCCACCTCGAGTATTCGACTCAGTGCATTCGTCGCCATTTTCTAACTCTTGTATTATTTCATCCAACTCACTATCGGTATATCCGAACAAATTGTAAAGCATTTCCTTGGTGGTAGACATTTCAAAAAATTTTATAGGTATACAACTGTAACACTGAAAACTAGTGAGAAGACTAAGTGAATAACCAAAATTCAGATTATATTTATACTTACCTACATTTTACTACAATGTGGAATATTACTAGGTAGGTATAGCAGCCACTTTCTACATTTTGACAAAGAACGGAATTTTAACAATAGCGCAAATATTTTAGAAATCTTCACACTTATTTTTCGAATACCATCGTCGTAACCCTTTTAAAATCATTTCTGGCAATCATAATAATTTTAACATGCGATTTTCTATAATAGAATGAAACCATAAAAACCTTGGCGCTTATTCCAAAAAAAAACATTATTCACCTTCAAATGAAGCTTTTATACCTTACCTTTTGTATAATATTATCAGGTACCTATATAGCACCAGCTTTCTACATTTGACAAACAACTAAATTTCAACAATGGAGCAAATGTTCCACACTCCTTCAATGAATACCTGTGAAAACCATTCTCTGTGATATAATGAAACTTTGAAACTTTCACACTTTCTCCAAAAAACAACATTATTCATTTTCAAATACTTCGCTATTTGTATTTTTACTCACCCATACCCTATCATATACTTTATAGCAACTTTTGTGTGTTATACACATTGTTCTGATCATAAAATGGTTCCTAAAGGCCCAAATTCGTTGTGATCATAAAATGAGAAATCTTATTCGAAATTATTTCGAAGTAGGTATGTACATAAATATTATGCGAAGATCGAATTCATTGAGTTATAACAGGATTTAATTCAATTGATGGCAAAAAAATATATAGAATGTGATTTCATAGCTCGTCTTGAAAATAAAAAGTTCATATATGAACATATATGCCCTAAACCTCTTAAGTTTCGAGCTATAGGGTTTTGAAATTTTAAGAAACGATTCGTTTTCTCATCATAATCTAAATACGACTGTTCTAGATATTTTCACGAAATTTGACATGCACCTACACTGAGCACCAATAAGCATTTTTTGATGTTGAAGATATTTTATATTTCGACCAGTGATGTCTGTATGGGATTTATTATATTGGAGATTTTTCTCCCTTGCTTTTTTTCCGAAAATTAAAATCATTTTGGAATCCTCATTTATTTTGGAGAAAGATCAGTAGTGCATACATGTTTCCGAACCATAGGAGTTTCTTCTCACCTCAATGGGCATTACATTGAAGTTAGACAGAAACAAACTGAAACACTCTGTATGTATGACATGCATATATTACGATATGGAAACGCTTACTTTTTTCCAGAAGTACTCCTCTATTTGGTAGGAAATCGAATACTAATTTAACATTGAAGAGAAATATGTTCTTCCGAAAAAATATAGTAGTTCTCGATCTCTACTATTTATACACACCTTATGAATAAGATTCGTTAAAATCATTGGAAGACGAATGATTACACCCACTACAAAATGATTGTTTTATTGGCCACATCAAAAATATTTCTAACTATCATTATATTTCATTAAATATACATCAGAGGTTAGGTTGACTTAGGTTAGTTGATTATGAATCATATGGATAGAGTACCTATGATATGGAAACACTAACTCCCCTCTTTCTTCTCTCTTTCTTCATTGCTCTCAAGTTCTGTTGAATATCCGGAATCTTCTTGTTCTTCTTCTTCGGTGTCGGATACTTCTAGAATTTCTTCCAAATTATATTTACGAACAAGATAATTTGGAAGAAAATCGAATAATTCATGAAGAAATTGTTCCATGTCCTCTTCAATCATTGCTTCGAGGAATTGCTCTAAAGTAAGACTACCATATTCAAATCTGGCACATAGAAGATAACCCATTCTATATTCTTCAGCTTTTTTTTGTAGTTGCTGAACTTGTTCTTGATCCAAGCAAATACTTATGTCATAATTTGTTGCGTGAAGTGCGTCGCGCTCCAACTCCGTGAACTGACATTTCAACCTTCTCACAGATGATTCGATATCTTCTGCAGTCGGCCAAAATTGACTAGAATAATGCATCCACATAATATCAGGAACGTGTGTCTATTTCTGGAAACAAAAAAACATTAAGGTAATTAATCGAGGTGAGAATCATATGTTCACATTGAATCATTTGCATCAAAGTGAACTACTTACCAAAATAAAGTGGAATATCCAATCAATAATTCGCGATGAAGTGATAATATGTAGAATGTAAGTATAATAATTATTAATATATAAGTTTTAAACCCCTTTCACTATTCTAAACATTCTTAAGATTATCATTATTATTATTATTATTATTATTATTATTATCATTACCAAATTAATGAAGGAATATTATTCTATCCATGTATTCCTAACGTGTCAAACTTGATGAGAGCCCTCGTTTTCGCACCAGAAAATATAGGTTCGCTCTGACCCAAATATGTTAAAGTATAAAGGCCGTTAGAAGAATTTATCTCATCAATGTCACTTTCTTTCATCAGATCTAAAACTCTTTTTGGTAACCAGCATTTCAAAGACACTTCATTTTCTTTATCATACAATAATACACTACCACTCCTACCAAATCTCGTACCACATAACGATATTTTTCGTATGGTATAATTTTTATTCAAGGGTAATGATGATATGAGAACTTGTTTGATAACTTCATTCTCTTCATTTATTCTATTATTAATTGCAACTAGATCAATTTTTGAAGCAGTCATTTTCCCGTTGAGTGAAAAGAGGATTAAAAATATATAATATTAATAATTGTACTCACATGAAACAGATAACACTTTTATCGCACTCAATATCAATATATATATTCTCACGTATCTGAGCAGATTGCCTATGTTCAATGGTATTTTTGGCACTATGCTCTAATATACGCAGAATGTTATATTTATATATATTGAGATGTGTGACGTATCATCACCATCATCATCACCCCACTTCCATAAAACATCCCTGAATGACTCTTGAGGCAACCGGCACTCCTCTCGAGGCCATTCAATTCTCGAAGTTACTTCACTCTCACGGTTACTCCAATCTCGCGGCAACCGTTCACTCCTCTCAAGATCACGAACACACTTCAAGGTCGCATTCACTCCTCTCAAGGTCACGAGCAGACTTCAAGGCCAAATTCACTCCTCTTCAAGTTCACGAGCAGACTTCAAGGCTGCATTCACTCCTCCTCAAGGTCATATTCCCTCCCAACCTTGAGGAGGAGTCTCAGACCACGCAAGAATCTTCTACTGGGAGCATTTCAACAAAAAAAATAGCGATCATTTATTCCCCTCTATATTTCACTGAGGCGATAAGTTATTGCTGGCTACGATTATTCAAACACAAGTTCAGATGAACAGATCCCAAGAATAACGAGAAAACTACACATAAAACAGGGATGCAAAACTTGAAGGCTTTCCTGATCAGAACAAGAATACTCAACTTCATGGTATGATCATACATTCATCGTGAGTATGAGATGATAAATCTGCCAAAATCGAAAACAGATCAGGTATGCGTCCCAACCCAAATAACCAATCGTTACATTCTTGTTTATTCTTGATTACATATTATAACATACTTTTCAGTTCCTGAAAGTGCTGTCTAGCAACATACGTATGCTCCTGTCAGTAGTGGAAATTGCAGTTCAAGAGCTAATTCCGGATTCAAAATGGACTACTTTCGTGTCGCTGGCCAAAAAATAATTTCATTTGAAATATCACAGATGTTCTCTGAAATCAAGTTGGTAATAACAGCTCTGTGATTACGAATCGAACTTTTAACCTGACCCTGAAATTAATCAGTCGCTTCCTTCAATAAGTACCGAAGGATACGTGAAGTTTGTCACAAAAGTACATTGGATTAGTAGTCATGTCAGCTGGGTGAATGTTTCGAATATAATCAGACAAAACAATTGATATGTGATATGGTGGCTAACATTTTCAGTGTCACCAGCTGGTGCTATCAAAACGTGAGGTCAATGTCAATGTCAGAAATCTCAGAGTTTTCTTGGGTAACCGTTAAGGCTACAGTCTGTTCAATCAAAAATATTCGGGAGAAATGTTGTAGAATATTTGAACAGACAAGTGATAAAAAACATGAGCAGACTTCTGTTTTTTACGACAAATCTCTACATTAACGAAGAAGATGATATAGAAGGAAGTAGCCAAATGACACGAAAGGAGGAATTATATTTCTCAGTTTCACCAACTTCGACATCAGGTTGCTGTAGCGTGAGAAATATATATTATTCAATAACTCAGTACTCTCCTTCATACAGTGATATCTATTTAGCTATAGTATCAAGGCAATTATGACTGTGAATATAAAATCTCGAAAAATACTACTCTCCAATTGTTATAGAATCTATAACGATGTAGGTATCTTTGTTGTCATAGATAGAGGAATATTATATCATCACACAATTATTTTAATTGTTTTCACCATCAATTGAATTTCATTATCACAATGTCGATAGATTTTGAATCTGCTGATATATCCAAGAGTAGAATGGTTGGATGAGATTCACCCACGTTCAGCAAAACTTCGAACTTTCGTATTCAAACATACCCAAATCGATAAGATCCCGTTCCAATATTGTCGAAGTCATACTTGAGTATACGTGCACTTTCTGCCTTATCTGAAGCTGTACCATTCGTCATACTACAAACGGCGAATAAAACCTAAAACAAATAATTATTTGAATAAAACATTGCATGTAATCAATACACAGATTCAGTCAGGACATGATGAAATTCGTCGAAATGAAAATTCGAAATTGTTGACATTTGATAATACCATATGGATAAACAAACAGCCCATCAATCGCTTGTTGGAGATTGCAAATTCTCAAAAAATTAGATAGGAGTATTAATAGGGAGATTCAAATCGTCAGCCAGCAGACGAATGTTAAATTTTAGTTTTCCTGGTTATTCGAGTTACTCCCTGTGTTTATGAACCCACTGGATTTTCGACTGCTCTCAAAAAACTCTACTCCAATTACGTGCTCAAGCTATTTAGAAATAGTTGAGGCGTAAGTATTTTCTTAGAGCTAATAAAAAGGTGGATAACAGATACTCGAATTAACTTTTGCACTGTATGAATATACCAACGTTGGAAAGTTTTCCCCAGAAAACATTGCGTCATTCATCAAGTGTGTTCGTGAATATATTCGAATTCTCTACATACTAAGTGATGTAGGATTCAAGTCGCTTGATATTTTATCAAATTTTCAGTCTCAAAACGTATGATGAATTCAAATCCGTATGTCTATAACAAGATTTTTTTCAAAAATACCCTCGGATAGGTCGAGATGAATCATTTTATTCACAACCATATATGTAATGTTGTCATCACTAATGTCATTGAAGGTTGGGAAGTGTCACATTACACACCTCTACTTCCTGCCCTCACTTTCCGCCCTCACCCATGTAATGATTCAGGTATGTTCAGAACGAAACATTGATTTATTGATTCTGATCGAAATATGATGGTTGTTGATAAAATAGTATACAAACCTTGGTAGGAAGTTTCATTCCTGTCTCGAAATTGAAGCTGTCATCGACGCTTTGCGTCTCGGTTAACTAACTGATCTCACGACAGGAATGAATCACTTTCCACCTCGGTGTGTAATATACTATCTCTTAATGCAAATTTCCAACCACCTCTCAACCACCTTACAGATCAACCACTTCGAAATCTTCAAATTGTACGAGATTACTAGAGTAACACTGTGGTAAAGAGGTATTCCAAATCTCTATACAGCAGTCAATTTTTCGAATTCTGTCAAGCCATTTCCACGGGAGAGGAGACAAAATATTCAAAATTCATTGATATTTATGTCTTAATCTCGTTTTATTTGTGAAGTAAATTTACCTACATGTGAAATGAGTTCTTATACTGAATGTCCGTCTACGAATAAGTTCAATGTAATAGAAGTTAGTATGAAAAACGTATTTTAAATGAAGGTATGTCAACTGAACAAGTATAAAATAAACCAGTACCAATTATAACCAATTATTCAGACAATTATTCGGATGAATTTCGAATCTTTCTTGCGTATATGGCTCAACCCAATTCGAAAGGATATACCGGTGTTCAGAGATATGAAATACTTTTCTCGCAAAATGTAGCTTGGAAATTTCAAGGGACTTGATCTGTAGGATAGGAGGTTGACAGGTGGTTGAGAATTTTCTGTGAAAAATATAGATTCTCGAGTATGAAAATCGACGGGTCGTGGTAAATTTGAAATATATTTGTGTTATAGACATACGGATTTTATTCTAGCATTGGTTTCTACACGTTATCGTGTATATTATGTATTGATTACTTCATAAAGTTTCTACAATATGGAATTTCAAAGAAGTTCATAGTATCTCAACATGGAGTAGTGCACTTCATAAATGAGAAACCCAGAATCATCTACACAACTCACATTGAAATGGTCGAAGATCATCAAAGTAACTAATTTTGGGCTTATATTAGCCCATCATCAACCGATAAATAGTTCAAAGTTATAGAGAAAACCGGTATCGACTGAGGATCTATATCGCAATGACGAGAAACAATAACCAATATACAATACCAATTCCTAGGTGAGAAGAGGGGCAGAGACAGAGTGACAGACAGACAAAGAGAGATCCTCTCGTTTCAGCTGATGTGGAATTGAAGTTCCTATTTTTGAATATCGGGTGTAGAAATGAAATCATTTCACTTTGAACAATATCAACTTGTGTTGAGACTGAACAAATTCCCCTAATAAACCAGTCAGATACAGAAACATATCTCTCAATGCGGAGAGAAGACGGAACGTGCTTGCAAAATATTCAGCAGTTATATAATTATCAAGAATAAAGTCATCGATGCCGATTGAGTCACTATTGACGGTGTACTATAGTCTGTTCTAGTCAAGTTATGGGAAGCCACGTGTACCCTCTCCACCAGCATCAGAGATGCACCCGACTCAGCACATTTGTTTAATAAAACCAGTTGCATTCATTATTTGCCGGCTTTTTCTCAATTGTTCATCTCTTGAATAAAGTTCATCATAGTTACTTGTTGTTTTTTAAAAATTCGCTTTCCGCTATCGAATTCAAAATTGGCACAGTCGGTAGGATTTGCCCAACGGTTTTGACGACAAAAATCGCGTTTTTACCGGTCTGTATCAACAGTTTAACGGCAAAAAATAGTGGATTCGCGAAAAGACTGAAAAACTCGAGAAACTACACTTGAAGCGGAGGACCACATCGCCAAAGCATCAAGAAGCCTGGTGAAGGACCACATCGCCAACACCAGCCCAAATTGGAGGACCACATCGCCGAAAATTTGGGAACTCTGGCAGAGGACCACATCGCCGAAACCAGTTAGCATAAGTTAGGATTAAGAAGAAACGAGAAAAATGAAGACAGCAATTCTACTGTAAGTGATTTTGCTCATATCCATATTTACCATTCCCAATAACCCCAATTATTGTGAATTCATTTTCAATTTTTGTGACATTCAATGGTAGATGCTACAGATATCGACCAATTAACTGAGTTATTGAAAAATTCATTCAATCCACTGAGTTCAAAGTTAGAAACAATAAACGAGATAGCACCTCCATCAGATGTAAACTATACTCTTTTGAGACTCTTTGTAGATGCAATTCCAAATTTTGATGGAAATCCGCATACATTAGGAATCTTCCTAGGTAGTTGCGACAATTTAATTGATAATTTCAGAAGTGATAATAACCCACAACTAAATACATACATCATACGAGCACTTCTTGGAAAACTAACAGGCAGAGCTCTCAGTTTGATAGGTTCACGTACCGAATTAAAAACCTGGACAGAAATCGAAAACGCTTTAAAACTTAGTTTCGAAGATCAAAGAAACATTGATTGTCTAGTTCAAGACTTAATTGCTTTGAGTCCTTTCAGAAACGAATCTCCCTATAATTTTGGTATGCGTTGCCAGGATTCTAGAAGCCTTTTGATATCTAAAGTAAATTCAGAAAATCTATCTATGACAGAAAAAAGCATCAGAATCAAAAGTTATGACGATTCAGCACTCAAAACGTTTATTAGAGGACTTCCTAGTCAATTGCAAAATAATATACGGCTTCGCAAGCCAGATAGTTTGGAAAAAGCCATGTCTTTAGTAATTGAAGAGGAAAATTTTCTATACAGTGCATCAAAAAGTAATTCTATTAATACACAAAACATGTATAGACCCGGACAGAGACTTACTCCGATGAATAGTAGACAAAACCCACGAACAACACAATCACCCAATTTCCAAAGACCTTTCCAAAATAATATTCAGAGACCCCCATTTCAAAATACCTTCCAAAGACCACCATTCCAAAATTCTTTCCAAAGACCACCATATCAAAATAATTTTCAATCACCCTCATTCCAAAACAATTTTCAGAGACCACAAATGCAGAATAATTTCCAAAGACAACCCTTTCAAAATAGTCAAAATCAATTCAGACCTAATAATAGTCAAATGACTCGCAATCAACCTCAAAGTCAAATAACCAGAAGAACATTCCAACCTGAACCAATGGATACATCATCTGAAAATACCCGTTTTACTCAAATCCAAAAACCATTTACTAATACTCAACATTGAAGAATTCGATAATCCTTTCGAGAACACAAACACACCAGAGGAAAATTTTGACAATGATTACTACGACTATGATCAAAACGGTTACTGTAACGACCAATCCGATCCCGATTATTCACAGTATAACAATCTTCCAAGTGAAGAAACAAATCAACAAGTACATCAGAATTTTTCATCACCGAATTATGACCAAGTAAATTTTCAAGTAGATCGATACCCAGAGACTCAAACATGATTTTAAACATAAACCTAGTAAAAGCAAATTTACCATACATTTTCATTCCTGAACTAAATGCTAATTTCCTGATTGACACTGGTAGTACAAGAAGCCTTATGAATCCAAATTTAGCTTACAAATTTTACAGACATTTTATTTTCAATGAAGATTTCAATATACAAACGGCTCATAACATCAGTTACCACAACGAAGTTATGATAATCCCTGTTTTTAAAGTTTTTAAAGTAAATGAATCACATAAATTCTATCTATTCAATTTTAGTCAAAAATATGATGGCCTGATTGGCATAGACCTATTGAAACAATTACATGCTTCAGTAAATATTCAATCAAAATCAATAACAACTCCATATGTCAAGATTCCTATAATTTACGAATCTGAGGAATTAACGCAATTGAAAAGTAAACTTCAATTGAACAATTACATTTTAGATATTCCTGCAAGAACTAGTAAGATCGTTAAAATACCAGTCAACCACGAAAAAGGCATAGGATACCTGGACTATATACATTTTGATAAACAAATAGAATCTCCCCGCGCAGTTGTAAATATCGAAAACTATTTTGCGATCTCATCAATATCAAATTCAAGTTCTGAATCAGTGAAAATCAAAATCAATAACCCTTTCAATATCGAAATTTTGAATATTTGTGAACTCAATTTTATTGAAAAAATGAAAACCGATGATTATTTGGACCAAGAACAAGATAATGTTCTAAAATCTAATTTGAAGAACCTTCGTCTTGATCACTGTAATAATGAAGAAAGACAAACTATCCGAAATTTATGTTTAGAATACCGTGACATCTTTTATTGTGACAAAATACCC